CAAGATCAAGCACGTCCGTCCATATAGGAAAACCAATCAATTGAGTTCCGGCCACAACGATCGACATCGACAGACGGTTTCACGCCACCAACACCGTCGGCCATCGCGCGCCATGGAGAAGAAAATCACAACAACAACATCGTCCTTGGAAGAATCATTTGCCTACATCGTCAGAGCTACCAGATATTTCTACGTCCAGGAGCCCGATGACCATGGCTGTGAGTTGGGCGGCCAGATCAATGGTGCGGGCGAGGCGAGATGGGAGGACTCGATCATAGGATGGGCATGACACCGACCTGGTGAGGAGATGGCAGCAGTCGAGATTTTTTTGGCTGGTTCTGTGGGCTGGATTCATCTTTTTTCTCTGTTGGTGTTTCCAAGGGAGACGTATGATGTAGGAAGGGGAGGTGATGGAAGCACAACTAAAGATTTACTATGTTTTTTTATTTCCTCTAATATTTCAAACAGATTGATAGAAATGGAATAGAACATAAAATAAATTTGAAACTTCTCATATAACACTCACTTTTGCATCCTAGCTAAGGCAATTCAGATGATCAATTACATATATATAGGCCTGACTTATATGTACTGCAGTCTTTGTTAGGATGTTTTTACATTTAGGTAAGCACGAGTAAAAGGTGTCAATGGTTAAACATGCATTCAGGAGCCGTTATCATTTGTTTATCATGTGAGTGCACAGCAAAATTGTGTGACATAGTAGAGCTACTTGGATACAAGTGAGCACATAGTTTAATGGAAAAAAATATGGAATAACTTTGTAGTTGGGCGACGACAACTGCATGACGAAGAGTATACCCAGTCAAACGTAATAATGACCTATTCTGACAGAAACTGTGATTTGGAATTCCTGGTTAGATCATCAGTAAACTAGAGGCCCCCCGCCCCCGCGTCGTCTCCTCCGAGGCGACTCGGGGGAAACCCTAACCGCCGCCGCCGCACCCCTCCTCCCCCCTCCCCTTCCCCTCCGCTACTGCCAGAGGTGTGCGCCGGCGTGCGCTCGACACCGATGAAGGTGGCGGCGGGGGATCTGGCGGCTCCACATAGCGTGGAGGGCCTTGGCATCCGGGGCGGCGGCCCCGGGCGGAGAGCGCCGGGTGTCCCGGGCGGCGGGCCATTCCGGCCGGAGCTGGTGAGGCGCCTTCCTCGGTCTCACGGGGGACGAGAAGGCACCGGTCTACGGTCGCTGGTGTACTGCCTCCCCTGCGCGGTTGCCGCCGCCAGATGCATGTCATCCTCTCCGCCCCGATCCGCTCCTCCCATCGCCGGATCCAGGTCCTAGTGGCTTAGGTCGTTCTTCCCGGGCGCCGGCAGCGCGGATCTCGTCGAGTGGGGTTGGATTCGGGGGAAACCCCTGGCCGACGCAGCCACATCGCAGGCGACGCCCTGGGCACCGTACCCCTCCCTGGAGGCTGTGGTGAGGATCCTTCTGCCCCTCCTTCCGTTCCCTGCTAGGCGAAAGCCTAGATCCCCTGATTCGGGCGGCGACGACACATCCGTGTCGTGTTCCTTCTTGGAGGCGCACTCCGGGGATCACAGGGGCGGCGAGAGAGCCGGGTTGTGGGTGTGATGGTGGCGGGTGGCATCTTGGCTCGGCGCTTCTCTGCCTTTTCTTTGGTGGCTCATCGCTGTTACCCTTGTTGCTCCGACGGTGGCCGACAGCTCTAGCCCTTCGGTGTGGCTTAACCGCGGACGATGACGGTGCTCGAAATGGTGTGCTCTGTACTTGCAGGTCTGCTCCTAGTTCCTTCTCCATGCGGAGCTTGGACGTCTTCCTCTGGGTTCTAGGGTGAACCGAGCTGCCGCCTGCCGGTGCGGCATCCTTTGAGCCAGGATGAGAGGGCAGGGGCCCTTTGCAGTGGCAGTTCCAGAGTAGTGACACTGCTGTCTTTGAGTTTGGCTACGATCACGAAGCTCGTGCGGTGGAGCATCCTCTCAAGTCCGTAGCTTGTCCGGTTGGTGTATATCGCCCTGTAGGGTGATGGCGGTAGCATGGTATGCTTGCTATCGCTGCTGCCTTTGAGTCTGTTTCGCTTTGCTCCTTGTATCAGCCGCTTGTTTCTTTTCTTGCTTTTTCTTGTAAGTTGGTGTTCTTGTAACCTTGGCCGGTTGATGGCTTTGTTAATTCAAAGCCGGGCTCTTCCTTGAGCCTTCGTTCTAAAAATAATGACCTATTCAGGTCGTACAATAGAAATGCAAATGCTAAATAGGTGTAGCAAGAAGCCTAAGATATCAATGTCAAAAAACAAAGCATAAGAATAATACGCAAATGCATGGCTCTTGGAATGTGTCTTGTGCCCAACATTATCAGAACGAAACAGTCAGTTCTAGCTGCAACTCTCAAACAACAACACCATTCCACTTCTGAAACAGCTCAAATCTATGACAGCAAAGCAAGAGTGATTGCTCTGCATCTTCAGTTTCTTTCTCGCCTTCACCGGCCAAACCTTTCTCTTCCAGTGACATCAGTAGCAGTGGGGCAGCAACAGAGAAAGCACACATGGCCGTAGGATTGAGATTAGCCTACTGTAAGACAGCAAGAGGACCAATGACTGAAGCCGGAATTGTGAATGTCTCCTTCTGGTGATTGCCGGTACCAAATGGCCTTAACTCGCCATGCCAAAAGTAATCAAAGGACACAATCTTACCTTTTACACTGCAGTTGTCTTTCCTTTTACAAAAGGGGGAAACTGTTTTAATGTCTCAGCCTGGTGATTGCCTAAGCAATCAACTTTTATTTGAATCCCCCTTTATGCTTTGTTGTACTCCGTTTGTACATGATTTTGTAATGATTATTACTTGTTGACTGCACTCAGTCAATATACATACTCCGAACATCCATCCATTTGGTCATTACTTCTTGATCATCAGTGCTAGTGGAAACTACAGTAGAAGCTCTTGGAGTGTGAAACTTGGTGTCTTCTGAGTTCTGACCGACTGACGACTGCTGCATTATTCAATTTGGCTATCTCCCAAAAACGAGCCTAGTTTAACAAATTCTGGGGATGGGCCTGTAAAACCCTTACCCTCTTATTTGTCATTATAACAATATAATGAACTTGTGCACTTGCGTAAAAAATATCGTGCACGGTTTTTTAGGTCTTTGAATTGACTAGCGAATGTGTTTTATGTCATAAAGATATATACTTTTAGTTTAATCCTGGAATGAAGTTTCTAAGAAAATATAGTTATGTGGCATATTACAGTTGACGACTGAAGTTCCCATGCTAGACTTATATTTCCATCCAGAGGGAGTTGACAATTTAGGCCACGAGAGCTATATCTAACTTATTGTGAGATCGATGGAGTGCTCGCCAACAGAGCTATATCTATCTCACTTATTTCCCTCGAAATTAAATAGAAAAATCATTTCTCTCCATTTTTCTATGTATTCACTTTTGGTATTTCCTTTCTTTTTGCGAATATTTTATATCATTGCTCTGAATTCATTTACTTATTTATTATATTTTATTAGTTCTGGAAAATGCATGAACGTACTTTTATAAATACATGAACATTCCATTTGAAAGGCATGAGCATTTTTTTTCAATATAAAAAACGTTTGTTCTGTAATAGATGAAGACTGTTTTAACACATGAACATTTATCTTGATACTGATAATAATTGGTCTTCGAATGCATGAACATTTCAATATATATTAGTCAAAAACAATTCATGCATGATACACATATTTTGTGATTTAGTAACATTTCTCATTGTACATACTTTGAACTTAATAAATATAGTTGTCTATGTCATCCAATGCAGAGGCCACGGGGCACCACTCCCTTTTGAGATTTTTTTTTCATAAGTATAGGTTGTAAATTTTATCTAGTAGAAAATAAGCAAATCTCGCATCACTATGAACAAATTTAGAAATAAATGAAATGATTTTTTATTGACATAGGATAATATTTTTAAAATATATATCACTGGTATCAAAGTGATTTCCTATACTATTATTAAACTATTAATAACAAAAATCCCGTCCAGCCGCAAAATGTGGCAATAGGAGCTCCTCTCAGGCTTAGTCACTCCATACCAATTTCTTTATATAGAAAGAATAGAAGAAACAGTGATTTGGTACCGCGGGGTTTCGGGCTCTAAATCTTGCATTTTTTTGGTATTTGTTCAGTATATGTTGGCAACACTAGTGGTATGTTGTTTAGTGAGTGATGCTCAAATTTTATTCTTTTTCTGCTTATGATTTCTCCCTCCACAGTATGGTGACGAATCATGTCTTGTACAAGGTATACATGTTCCGGGCCAAATGACCCTCGACAATTGTAGGATCTCGTCTTCTTGCCCCGTTCTTGTAACCTCTCAAGTCGGTTGCAAAATAACATGAGGTCGGCATGTTGTTGAATGCATTAGGGTTTCCATATTCATGACTTAGCGTACGTACCCGGGAATGAGTCCGTCGTGGTGTTGACCTAGTACCTCGCCCCCCAAGAAAGCATATTGTTTTGCAGGAAATATGGAGCATTAACAGACTCGTACATATACCGAAAGAGTGTAACAGAAACCATCAGGATGTAACAAGGAATGATCATGATGGTGATCAGTAACAAGCAATGATCACTAATAGGGTGTGACCGATTATTTTCTTGAACCTGTGCAGTAATTACATGCATGATTCATGACAATATTGTTTCCAACATGTAGCACTTCTACTGAATTGACCATAAAGCAAATATAATATGTAATATGGTAATCAAGGAAACATGAGTCCACCAATTAGCAATGCACTATTCAATCAACCTTTATGGTCTTTCAAATATATTTAAGATAGGAGCTGAATTAAATGCACAATAGAGTACAATTCATTTCATACACACAAGAACAAATGTGGAGCATATGGATACTAGAGTATCATATATGCTTTACATCCAGGTGTTATTTCGGTTGCAAAACAACGGCAAATCCATGACATAACTTATCACATAGTTACAAGACAATGTTTTGTGCACCGAAGCGGTTTAAATGTCAAAGTATTGGACGAAGCTACCAGTTGCAATGCTCTGCATAGAATTGAAACAAATAAGTGCAATATTAGCATGCCATGTTGACAATAGTAGTAGTGGTAGTAGTAGTAGTAGTAGTAGTAGTAGTAGTAGTAGTAGTAGTAGTAGTAGTAGTAGTACTACTACTACTACTACTACTACTAATAATAAGTACAAGAATCAAAATGTTAAAGATTCTCTCAGGTATGTCAAGGAGCATGTACAAAACACTTACAGCTGCTGGGATGAAGGCAGTAATATTAAGTTCTCGATAGCTCTCCACGTTTGCAGTCCCTTTGACTATGGCAAACTGGATGGTACCTTGCGCCATTGCTAGTTCATTGGTCCCGCCAACAATTGCCCAAACTCCATTTGGAGGAGTCATCCCCATCACTTGAAATGTTGAACGAGTAAACCTATTTAATGAATCACTTGAAATTTAAACAATCGGTAGCACTCAACTTTTTAATAATTGCATCTGAGTTGAGACAAATTAGAACTGTAATCAGTGTTAAAAATACGATAAGTAACATAGATATTATCCAGTGAGTTAAAACAAATATATTACGTACCTTCCCTGCTGGAATATCATACTGAAATGGGAGAAATCTCCAGCATTGACCTGGTCAGCCTGGACATGGGTTCCTTTGGCACGACCAATAATTTTGGCGTCCGGTGCAGGTGCATCAAGTAGAGTATAATCAAAAGCAACCGTCCTACCAAACTCTATAGGGGGAGTAGACTTAAACACAACTTCTTGGTTGTGGGTTGGTCCGGACACCACCTGGTGCAAATACATCTGCATTTTTATCTCACTTTCACAACGAGTGGGACATGCAAAGAATGGAGACAAAGAGGGAGGCTAGGGCAAGTCTGGGCCAATAGCTCCTGTGCGACGTTTTTGATGTGAATTTGCTTGAGTGCGACGTTGTTCGAGTGAATGGCTGTGATGCGACACACTTGAGCGTGTAAATAGCTCCAATGCGACATGGCTCTGTTTAACCGTGAAATGAAAAACACGAGGGTTAGCGATTTGAGTTATGACACGCGGGACCCACCAGTTACTCGCATGCGGGTGGGACCCACAACTTATCCACACAAGCATGCCCGTGCTCATCAGCGTGGCCCGACCCGAGCCAGCCCGCCCCCCTTACCCTGCCCCTTTCCTTTCCCACCTTCTTCTTCCTCTACTCCGGCAACGAAGCGCGCCGCCGGCGAGTGATGTCTAGCTCGACTTCAGCCACCTGCCAACCATGGACGCAGTATGGTCCACTGCCATTGACAAGATGCCCCGATTGCCCACGCATGGAGCCTCTCAAGCGTTTGACTTGTGTGAGGGAAGAAAATGGCAACCGTGGGCGCGAGTTTGTGAAATGTTTGAGCAAGCCACAACCGGGGCAGGTTAGATCTGTGTTCTTGACCAATTCTATGGTCTAATTTCTCCCGATTTCTTTCTTTTTCCCTCGAATTAGGGTGGTGGATCTGGGTGGTGAAAGCTAGGATTCATGCGCCGCCGGCCCCCTGTTTTCAGGTTCTGAAGAAATGTGGGCATTTTGAGTGGCTCCATGAATATGTTGAAAGGTTGAAATTGGAGGGATCAACCCCAACCCAAGAGCTCAATTTTGGGGGGCGGCTTGCCGTGGAACAAGCCCCCAATTTGGCGGACAGAGCCGATCCGATGATGCACAGTGCAGAACTGAAGTGTGAATTGAAGAAAATCGGCAAGCAACTAAAGCATCTGATCGATTTGAAGCAACAAGCAAATATGATGGCGGGAGCATTTTATGGTTTTTGTTCTTGTGATCATTTGTTAGATGAACTTGAATTCGTGTGAAGCAAAACTTGCTTGAATTATTGTAATGATATTCTCAGGGGCCATATTCAGTGTTGATGCTCTGTTTCCTCTGTTTTTGTTCTTCAGTTAACAGAGTACACACCCAAATTCAGTTTCTAGTAAAAATACAAAACTGGGCTGCCGAATAGATGTTGGGCCGTGAGAAAATGGACCCTGAGAAAATAACCATGCCCAAAATAGAGACCAGCCCGCCCGCGTAGGGGCACCAGCCCACCCGCGTAGAGGCACCAGCCCACCTCTAACTTCGGCAAATAAAATGTTACTTATTTTTACTTTGGCCTTTTTCTTGCACTAAATTTTGTGATGGATCATTTTTTGATGCAATAGAACCAAATGTTAATTGTTTGTATGCATGTCTACGGTTCCATGAACTAAATGAGTTGCATGAAGTAAATTAGTTTGCATTTCCTAGTGGCATGTCCATAGTGGGTTTGCATGGGGCTCCTAGTTGCATGTCCATGGTTTGGCCAATATTTTGAAGATGGTGTGTGTGTGGTGAGATTGAGGTGTAGCAACCCGGGCTCGTAACAACCCATAGCAATACACAAATAATAGCACGAAACACACAATATATATAGTAGCACAACTATTGCAACCCATAGTTCCACGATAACCTTACAACTCCATGATAGCCTTACAACTTAAAATACTAATACAACTTAAAAAAACTAATACGATAAGCTAGATAGATCGGGGGGCACCAAACGCGGGTTCTTCTTCGGGCTCTTCTTCTCCTTCTCCCGGGGAACAACGCCACCTCGCTCCTCCGGGCGCCATCCTTCACTCCTCCCCGTTGTTGATGGGGTACGGGAGCGTGTGCATAACGCTGTTGTTGGGGAAGATGCTCTGGAATTCGGTGAAGATATTGTAGGTGGTGAAAGCTATGAACTCACAACCAACCCAATACGCTCGCCCGAGGAGATGGAAAGCATCGAAAGGGTTAGTGAACGTGGCGAGGAGCCCAACCACAACGCCGTTGTGGTTGACCTCCTCAACATGGTACATCCGAGGAGAGCCGCGGGGGAGGTGGCGGAAGCCGGACGCAAGGAAGAACTCCGTTAACTCCCTTGCGCCCCTCCATCTCGAGATCGCCCAAACCCTAAGGGTTCTCTCTACATACACTCCGGCCGGGTAGAGCCTTTCCGGCACGGTTGGGGGGAAGCGGTAGGTGGGGGCGGTGTACTGCATGGTGGCGGGGTGGCTCGAGTGCTCGGTCGGGTTTGATGGAGAAGAATGAAGAAGAAGGGCAGAGGAGGCAGAGGATGGGGTATGATGGATGAGGAGGGAGAGGACGATAGTGCCCGGCTTAAATAGCCCAAGTGCGACGTCGTTTCACCCCGTCGAAACCCTAGAATTAATGGGCGGGCGGCGTTTGGTGGCGCCCCATGAAAGCATGTACACGAGCGTGGCCGTGGGAAACGGACTGCTACGCTTCTGTGCCACCGGTCGTGGGTCAAGGGGGACGGGCTCACGCACGCGTCTGTGCCGTCGTGGGTCAAGGGGACACGCCTTCCCCGGGTTCTCTGCGTGTGCCGCCCGTGCATGCATGCCGTTGCCCATTAATTTGCTCATCTTGCTAGGGCCTGGCTAGAGGGCAAGGTTCGGTCGATGGGAGACGTGACAATAATGTACGCCTTCTTTTGCCCATCTTGTAACGGGCAGCACGCCATTTGAACTGCATCGATACCCACATCGATACGGGCCCCATCGATACCATGCCAGTATTGCGTCGTCAAAGAGGAGCACGCCATGCACAGCGTGCACACCACACCATGCAGCGTTGGCTTTTTGGTTGTCTTCATCGGGCTGCTGCATTGTGGCCGGGTGCATGCTTTGATGCGACGCTGCATCGGTTCTAATGGTAGGCATGCGACAGGTTACTGCGTTGATAGGGGTGGCGGAGCAGGGCTACGTCGAGGCATGCATGCAACGCACGGGCGCAGTCCTGCGGGTGGGCATGCATGCTGCGGGTAGGCACGGGAACGCATGCAACGATGGAAAGGGCACTCCGTAGGCTTGGTCCATGCACCGCGTAAACTCTTGCCATTGGATTCAAATGAACGGTCCTGATGCTCCAACGAGAGAGGCTGATCCAAACCCCACCGCGTCAACCAATCAGCGCGTCTCATGCGGATCGCTGCACACTGTAGCTAACCCTAGCGCCTGATCTCAACCGTCCACGCACAACGATCAACGACCAGGTAGTGTGCGGGGTTTTGAGGGGTTTTGAGAGGGGTTTTGAGGGGTTTTGAGAGGTTTTGACTGATTAGGGTTGAGCATAACTAATTCAAAAAAAATCAAAAAAATATAAAACTTGCGCACATAGTCTTATTATGTCGTATAGTAACGAGAAAAAAATATAAATATGGTTTACATACATTTTTACGAAAAATCCTTCACAAAATTGTTATTCCTCAAACAATGTAGTATGGAGTTGAAGGGAGAGAGTAGTGGGCACCCGAGAGTAGGTGGAGTTTTGAAAATGAAAAGTGTGAAAACCTCACCAAAACTTCATTTTGGATTGACTAAGAAAGATCTGAACTTACTTTTCTCATTTTCATGTTTTAAACTTGTTTTATATATAATTTTCTATTAAACCTTGTTTTTTCAAAAAGAAAAGAAAAAATAGAAAATTAATTCAATAAATAGTGAGACTTTAGATTTACACTATATAGGTAGAATAGATGTGTAGAAAAATTATTTGGCTGGTTTAGACAAGGTGCCAAAAAAACTTGCTTAAATATGAGGCCGTTTACCCTACCTTTGGAGGTCATTTGAAACACACTTTTCAAGACTATGAGTTCAACTTACAAAAAGGGCTCGGAATGATCAGCAAGCAAACATATTTCAGTTGAGGTACTTTAGATAGCACTAAAACATCAATAGCCCAAATTTAAATTTAAATTTGAATTTTATTTGGCTGGTTTAGACGGGCGGTTTAGACAAACAAGTTCGAATAGAAATATGAGGATACATAGTGATTACCAGTACGCACCAAGTTACAAATATTATTACATGTCCCAAATTTTCAAACTATTCTCTGTTCTACTTCTTCCTACCACGTTGTGTGCCCTTCTTCGCCTTAGCCCTTCTTATTTTTGGTTCTACTACACACACAAGTTCACTGATCATCTTGGTTTTCTTCACTGCTCTTTTCAACACCTCACCAATACCCTCGTGATCAGTGTCTTCAGTCTCAATGTTGACAACAGTTTCAGTTTCTTTGGTGTGTACCTCAACATGGGTTTCTTCAGTCTGAACCTCGACACGCTCAGGTTCAGTTTCTTCAGTCTGAACCTCGACACGCTCAAATTCAGTTTCTTCGGTGTGCACCTCCACATCAGTTTCTTCAGTCTGAATGTTGACTACAGCAGGATTTTCTTCAGTCTGCTCAGGCTCAGGCACACTTCTCTTCTTTCTACCGCCATTGACTCTTGCTTTTTTGGTTGGCCAACACTATTCAACAACAAGGGGCTGACTTGCTCGCTTCCTCCTGTGCAGAAAATGTTATAGATATACTAATTGGGAAAAAGCACCAAATCAAAACACAGACAAATAAACAAGAACATACTTTGGCTTATCAGGAGTGTAACGGCATTTGATAGATCCCACTCTGTGCCCAAGTTCCTGGCACAACTTGCATCTATTTTTGTTACCTTTTTGGGCCCTTTTTGGCTTTTCATCTTTCTTTCCCTTCTTACTACTCCCACCTTTCTCAAACCATGCCTTGAATCTACTCTGTTTAGGCCTGCCAGCCTTTCTTTTCATCAAGGGAGGACACATGGAAAATTCAGTGTCCACTTCAGGCCACTGAGACTGATCTGTAAGTGCTGGAATTGGAGTAGCATATGCAGCTTTGAATCTTGCTACCGAATAATATTCATGCAGATATGGGTGCATGTTTATCTTCGGTTGGGATGCTAAGAAAAGAATGGCATGCTCACATGGTT